GCATCGACATATTACTAAGAATTCATCAAATTGTGAAATATTTTATTCTTGAACCAGTTTCGATGGTATGTATTCTTCTTGCCGCCAACCATTCAAATCTAACTGAAGTTAAACTTTTTAATTTCAAACAAGAAATTACTTTATATTAATTTTACAAGTACTATAATAGAAGAATTATGCTACGTAGAACAGGTCATACCATGTTTTATTTTATTTTTTTAATTTAAATGAATCACTTCTTCGATATATTTTCCAACAACAAATCACGACTCTTATTTTTGTACCTAATGGTCAAGATAGTATGAAAGAATCATCGACAAATTATACTAAAACTATTTATGCATATATCTTGAATTTCTTCAAAAATTTATAACATTTGAATATTATTGCAACATTTATTCCGTCATATTCAGGTTTACCACTCTGTGATTTACCATCGACTATTTTTTTTGTTTTCAATTCTTATTCATTTATGTATCAATGTGAATACATTTGATGATTGTCTTTGTTTACTTGATGGTCGGTTCAAACAATTAACCAACATTTATTATGAGAATTGATTTCATTGATAAGTCTTCAAAAATGGTTCACAACATTATAAGTTTGCATAAATAATGCCAATCATGAAATAAAGATCATTACGATTTTTGATTTGTTGTAATAAAATGGAGATAAACTGATAAATATTGATGGATATTAAAATCATTCAGATAGTATTTCTATTTATTTGAAATATAGATTTGATGATAAGATCAATGGAATTTATTGCGAGCAAAGATGATCATATAATGATTTGTAAGATAAGTTTTTCAGTTACCACGACTTTTCTTTATTTCATCATCCATTAAATATATGTATTATGACGTGTAAATGGCTATAGACATCAAATAGAATGAATTCTCTTCAATAGTACCAATTAGAGGTCCAGACAGACCTACTTTTTGAAGGTCTGGTCTGTCTGTGCCTGCCATAAAATTTCTTCGACCTGCCTACTTTTCTTTGGCTCCAATATCATGATAATAATAAAATATATTTAGCTGTTAATCTTTATAGAAATTTCAACAAGTCGATGGAATGACTTTAGATGATCAGAATCAGAATTCTCTAATGCGAATATAAAAAAAATAATTAAAGTGCTTACTTTACAGAAGTATTGTTTTCTTGCATTTTCATCATATCGAGTAAGATTAAGAGCAGCAAAAAAAGTTAACTTCAGGAAGTTTATTGTAACAAGAAGTATTCATGTTTCACGATAAGAATACTTCCATCGAAAAATAATCAAATTTGAACAGACACACTCAGCGTAACCCTAGGTTGTTCATTATAATGAGATGTTATTATTGTTGGGATGTTGAAAGTGTAAGTTTTTACCCGTCATTTAATATACAATGAAATGTGTAGGTATATAGGAAAATTATAGAATAGAAAGGCATTTCTTTTGACGAGAAAAAAAAATCAGTTTTTTGTTGTAGAACATTTTAAAAAAATTCAATAGACAAAATGTCCCTCTTATTAATACATGCAAGAGAGAAACTGTATGCAACAATTACAAAACCTGCAGCAGAAAAATATGGTTCAGCATCAGCTCTGTTAGCTAGGGTTCAAAAGCGAATGATAGAAAATAATGAAAAATATTTAAAGGAAAGGTTCGCAATTGATAAGATCGAAAGATTTTTCCCGAAGCATATCGTTGAACCTTGTCGGCTAAAATTTCATGAATTTTGATGTGAACAACTATAGTTTGTTTAAAAATAAATCATATTATCCTTTCCAAAACGGTGTTTAGATATGTTTCATATAAATTATTATCTGTTCTAGTGTAATTCTGCAGTAATAGAAGTATTTCTCACTAATGAAACTATTTTCACATGTGATCCATTTTGTCGATTCGAAAACGTTTTAATATTCACATAAACCTAGTCGATGCTTAAATATTGATTCATAATCTGATGTTTATTTTTATTCAAATCGTATTTTTTCTCATCAAAATCAACAAAATATTAGTTAAACACACCTGAAATGTCATGTCTCAGAAACAATAATCCTAGAACGCTTTTTAGTAGTCATTGTTTTTCGTCACTGTTTTCAGAAAAAAAATATAGTGCAAAAAATCCATATCAAAAGATATAAACACTTGTGTAATTGACTAGTATAACGATATTTAAACAGACTTGATTATTATCAAAGGTCGGATATGATATGTATAGGAATTATTCACTATTTCAAACGATAAGACTTATTGTACGAACAATCATTTTCTATAGCACTCTCTAACAGTTTTGCACAGAAAAGAAAAGAAATCTTGCGAGAGTAACACTTTCGTCACTTGCAATAACCCTTCCTTTCTGCTGATGACACATTCAGAACGGTAGTGAATTTTGTTGCCTTTTCTTCAACATTTACACTTAAATATTCATATAATTTTTCATAATAAACAGTCATTGAAAATTAACTGACCGCAATCTGTTTTCTATAAATAATCCAATTTAAAAGATTAAAATTTTATATTAAAAATAAATGAGACAGACCAGGCTGCCTGCCATTTTTAAGCGGTGTGTATGATCTGACACAGAGTTCGACCTAGCGTGCCTGTCACAGGCCAGGCCTAAAAATCGTGGTCAGTGTCTGTCACAGGCAGGCAGGCCATGTGGCTTGCTTGGGGCTCTGATCTTTATAATTGAACAATACAAAAACATTTTTTTAGAATTTCAAATTGATGGCGTTAAAAAAATAGATCACTTACCGAGCAGACAAATATTGTATTTCAACATTACGAGTGTGCAATTTTTCACGGTTCATCATAAATTATTGATCATTGAGCATCAACTATGTTTTAGATATTCCTATCTATAAATACAAATTCTTTCAATAAAGAAAAATTCGATTGAAAAACAAATAAAAGTTTTGCCAAAACATTACCAAGACGAATATTAACATTATCGCGTTCACCTTTTTCATATTCAGGTTCAATATTGTAAAAGTATTTTAGGTTATAAAAGTGGTTTTTAAATATGACACCTACAGCAACAAGTCGTGAATTCCAAATAACTCCAAAAATAAAATAAAAAATACGACGAAAAAAACGAGAGGTGAAATCGACTAACAAAACGTAACTCACCAAAATTCTCATGGTGTTCATTTGATAGTTCGTTTGACCAATATTTAGAAGTTTTTGATAAGAAAAAGGTTATTTTATGTGCAAATTAATATGATATTCGAAATCAGCTTGGCGATTTGAATTGATTTAAAAAATTTTCAGAACTCTTTTTGTTTTGTAAAAAAAATTTACGCGGAGAATACTTTTGGCTTAGGTACACACTCTGTCTCTCTCTGACGATCGTATCTGAGAAATCTTGTAAATTGTGTTACTCTGTTGATAGGTTATACGCCCACGGAAAAATTCTTCCGAAAAAAACCGCGGTAATCTGAGGTTAACCGCGGTTTTGTTCCACATGTTGAAAAATCGCGAAAGTCAGACCGTTTATGCAGTTTTTTGAAACTGGCGAATACCGCGGTTTGCAAATACCGCGGTGAGAACCGAGAAAACCGCGGTCCGAGCTGAGTTTTTGCAAGTCTAACCGCGGTTTTCTCGGTTCTCATCGCGGTATTTGCAAACCGCGGCTTTTTCTTGAAAAATTTTTCCATGGGTATTCAATAAAATGCTTTGTTTTTTAATTATAAAATATATTTTCTAAAGAAGTAATTTAGCTGGAATTAAAAACAAATGATTTTCATAGAAAGAAAGATATCGCTTGTATTCGATGTTCATCGTGTTTGATGGAATTGAAGATCATGATAGCCAATAACAATCGAATATATGATGGGATCGACCGACTTTTATCAATAGACATCATCCTGCCAATTTAATTAATAATGAATATTCATTAAGTCGTAGTTCATTCAAAGGAGCTTTCAGTATCTAAATAGTTATTATCTAACATATATGTTAACATATTTTTTAATTATTCGAAAGGGGTGTTAGTTTAAATTCTGTTTAAACGCACCACATTTATATCGGATGATCAGAAAATACATTGTCTAATGATCAAGAAGCAATGAGATTTGTTATGCGCATACAGACGGAGAAAATAAAATAGCAGAAAACATTGGTTTGTCTTTTTTTCCCTTTTTTTTTGTTTTGATAAGCTACTTCCTTGTCTAATGAAGCCTGAGGCAACAACAACCAAAAAAAAAACAATGTTAACAAACAATAAAACATTTTTTAAACTCTATTAATAATTTATTTTCTTTTATATCAATAACGATATTGCAATCCTTTTTACCTTTTTCGTTTCTCGTTCTTCCTACCGTCATGTTACGTCTATGTGTGAACAAATTTTGCTAGCAACACTGTTAAAATAAAAGAAGTCCTTCAAGTCGATAACAACAAACCAAAAATCAACGAGTGTCAATACAAAAAAGAAGAAACAATGATACATATATATAGGGAGGCGTAGTTTCACTTATGGCATTCATTGATCCATCCACCATGGACAACCAAAAAACAATACCAACTGCTGGTAGTGCGCAAACAGCGACGACCGCCACCAACTGTACTCCTGCACTGTGCCCACCGTCTTGATCGGACTCTACAAAATTTTCTGTTGATCTGGCTTGATATCAACTTTCATGAATCCAAAGAGCATTATAAACAATCAATAGAACATATACGACGTATTGTAGCAATAGTCACAACATTCACAGACGTAGACGAATGCGTTGATTTTCTCAGTGACATTGAAAATGAAAACGTGTTTATGATTGTGTCTGATGCGTTGGGACAACATCTAATACCGGAAATTCAAGCATGTCCACAATTAGACTCCATTTATATTTTCGGTGACAATCCATCGATTCATGAACGATGGGCCAAAACAATACTTAAGATAAAAGGTCTATACACACAAACTGAATAGATTTGTGAAGTATTAGAAATCGATCGACAATGAGACGGCCGAGCTATGGTCTCGATCAGTTTTAATCATCTAGATCTACTATTCATGTATACTCAATTATTAAAAGAAGCACTGTTGGAAATCGAAGATGATGATAAAAAATCCATTAAAAATCTTGTTGATTATTGCCGTCTGAAACACGATATATCAGAAGTTCAAATTAAAAAAATTGAACTCGAATATCGTGCTCATACGCCAATTTGGTGGTACACGGCGCCCTATTTTATGTGTTCGGCACTTAATCGTGGACTTCGACAAATGGATGTTGACATAACAGTTAAAATCGGCTTCTTCATCCACCATTTGCACAATCATAGAAATTGTTCAGAAACCACATAAAATGATTCTGCCTACTCCATCGTATGATATTGCGATCGATCAATAACTTGTGATACAGCAACCCTAGACAAAACTTATTAAATCAGAATTAAAACTATTTCTTCGATGAACGCACGTAACGCGCAATAAATGCGAATGAAAATCACTCAAACATCTATTTTGAAATATATATTTGTCGAAGTGCGCTTGTGGTCATTCATTCTGAAATAACAGGCACACATAATACGTTAGTTTGACGCCAGAAACACTGCACCAAAATCAGACAGAGATGATAGTAGCTGATTCATTGCCAACAATCTTCTCTTCTTCTCGTAGGAACAACCAAGCAAGATATATCTTTCATATCGAAGTTATACCGGTCGACGAAGTTATAACTTCGACAGAGAAATTTGTCGAAGTTAATTTTGATTAATCATCAATAAATAATTCACTTCAATGAATATCGTACTGTTGAATATATAATCAAAAATAATTTTTTAAAAATAAATATTCATTTATTTAAGAATATTGTTAAATACATGAATATTTATTTTAAAAAAATCATTTTTTTGATTATATATTCAACAATACGATATTCATTGAAGTGAATTATTTATTGATCGATTAATCAAAATTAACTTCGACAAATTTCTTTGTCGAAGTTATAAGTTCGTCACATTTATACAACGAATTTGTAACTTCGTCAATATTTTATGATTAACTTGAAAAACTGTACCAAGTTGGTGTTAATATTATTCTTTCAAAATTATCTATGCGTGATGTTGCAACACAATATTTTTTGATCGGTGGATGATCTAGTTTTTGAGTACCATCAATTTAACATACAAGGAAACGTTTTTTTTTGTCATGGTTGAATACTTTCGAGAATCAGCTGGGTAGCATGATTTTTAAGGCTGAAAACAATTCTACAGCTGAAGAACTTCCTTTATAAGGTCGACAATCGACGAAAATTACTTTTATATATTAACTACACTGTTCAATACAAAAAAGGTTCGAATACAAACTCGTATCTACACCGACTTTCACTTTTCTCGAAAAAGAGGTTGATTGCTGTCAAATGTTTGAGTCATTTTTTTTCTGAATCACAGAACGAGTAAAATCAAAAAAGTAAAAGCATTCAGGATGAATATTGAGGCTACCGAGTATAGATATTCAGGATGAACCTTTTTTGCTTTCGGTGTAGACAATACTATTCCAGAACTTATATCTTTCACATCAAAACAGCTCATTCAATTTTCCTCATGGCTTTTGCAGGAAGCTGACGACTGAGATCTGAATTTGTATCTTTTTTCAGGTCCAGATCCAGAAAATCGTGGTTTGCAACTTTAAAAGAATACCATTAAGTTCTGCACAATCAAGCTTGAGAAAAGAATTTCCTTAGATTTCGAATTTTCAACAACTTAACTAGTTTTCTAAATATTTAAATTTAGACTGGGATATGTTTCATGCTAGTCGCACCAAAGATCATCCACAACCTACACAGAAAGCATGTGATAGTGGTGCGATATTAACAACTGTTGGAAATCTGAACGAACAATCTCAATAAGTACTTGGCACCTGTGAAATATTTGAAGAAATAAAAATCGGTAAAACAGTGACAAAAATCTTACATGGTATGGTGTTGAACAATTTATTAGTGAAGTTAAATGCTCCTTGTATATATGATGCGATTACAATTGTACGACCTGCTGTTAAAAATACTTCAAAGGTTGCGTCTGGAAATGTCATAGAACTGGCATCAAGTGATACATTACGTGAGTGTGGGTGTAGCTATGTTTATCGGTTTGAGGAAATACAACACTTCACATCCACACTCACCCAAATATCATTTTCACTGTTTGTGATTTATATAAATCGATTGTTGTACGCGATTAATTTTGAAAGGATTTTTTCAAAAAGAATTCTTGGGTAGCAGCTTGTATTATCAATCAAGTAACTTGTGCAAATTTAAAGAATTTATTAGCCGAATTGATCAAATTTTTTCGTACTCATTTTTCAATTTGACGCACATGAAGTTTATTGTATTTGTTCTCGTGCAGATCTATGTTATACTGTAATGGATGCCACACTACAAAATGGGAGTGATTGTTCTTCTTTCCTCGTTGGTATCGCTTCTTGGAAACAGCATCATATTCAATCTGGCTTGCTTATCAACTCGTCGAGTACAATCATATATGAAAGTTGCTTCAACAGATACTATCAATTTGCAAGACAGAAACCTCCATCGTCGTGATATTTACCCACTGAAACAAATGATCTTTGTGTTTTATGTTGGTATCGGAGAATGAATGTCCATCTATATTGTCTCAGTGCTTGGTTTTCAAGGTTATCCTTTTTCGGTTACGCACAGTTTTCTCTTTGTATTGGCAGAAAATAGTACGCTATGTAATATTGTCAATCTATTTCTGTGTCATCTCAAAGTTAGACGATATTTACTCAATAAGATTTCACGATTGTTTTGAAAAAAGTCCATTGAGTCATTATAAATCAGACAGTTCGTTAGAGCAGCTCGCTTGGGGCTCAAATGTAGGATCTACATGTTTACGTCACGAAAAAATGCATAAATTTTTGTATTTTGTTACATAAAGAAACTATGAGTAACTATCAAAACTACTGCTGAGTGGTGAATGGTAGAAAGTCAACGATTAACATCGTTCGCTTTATATGCATGTCCCTCCAATGAGTGAATCAGAGCAAAATCTAGTCAGTTTTGAACGAAGGTTCTATTGGAATATTTTACATTTGGTATTATTTGGTTTCTCACCTTCCACTGTATCATATTTCAGCGGATCACCTTAATCAATACTGTTTTCAATTGTTTCTATTAAACTCAAACGAAGTATATCTTGCATTTATTTTATATGTGATACGCAGCAAATAAATCGTAGAAGAAAAAGTCAAAAGGGAAACCTAAATTTATTCTAGTGTAGATATGATTAAGTTATATGCTGCTTTCAATATATCATTTCTGATTAGAGAAGTATGCGTCGTAATTGCAAATGAAGTCCCAGAAGTAGAAAAGTTTTGCCAAATGATAAATTGCTAAGTGGCACTTTTTTCTCTACCCAATTGTATACTGCTAGTATTCTTTGCATATCTGTGAACTCAATGCGGATAGCGTGATTCGAAACAATGCATCGCGAAAATAATTGATGATGTTTGATTTAAGACATGAAAAAATAATCTTTTCTTAATTACTTTCTGATATCTTTTCGCTTTTCCCATCGTGAAATTTTGTAATTCTCAGTATGATATCTAGAAACAAAGATCAGTTGGTTGTTACGGGCAGTAAATTTTTCTTATCGTATCATATATATTACATCAGACACTTATTCATTATATCAAAGAGATGCAAGCTAATGTTCGAAACAAATGATTTTCAAACTATTAATAAAAGAATTGCATTGTTTTATTTTACTTCTGATTGATGACCATTTTTGTTGTGTAGTCAGCGCTGCTTGTTCATATAATTTCAAATACTCTTTATAACTTTCATCCAGTAACGGTTGACAATACTAATGCTACGTTTTAAATATTTTAAAACTGCAATTTGATTCAATGCATAACCATTTTATCCAATGTTGATCATTTAAATTTACTGTATTCCACACTTCAATAATATGATCACATATAAGTGCAATTTGGTTTTGTCATTCACATTTTAATATTGGTTTCTAGCAATTAAATCATGAATTATCTAGATACTAAAAGTGTTTGCCATTGATTTCTCAGCTATTTCTTTCGTATACTCAATTGGTAACGATGAATCAACTAGTTTTTCATAAATTATTTGTTAGAAGATATTTGTAGAGTATCGAGCATTCACTATATTAATTTATAGTATAATCAATAGCTCTTTTTAAAATTAATCATCTGCTTGATTACAACCTTTTGCCAACTCATAAACTCTTCGGACACCATAAAGACACTGAACATAGATTGATAATTCAATCTCCATATGTACTTTTAAAATTTCTTAATAACAATCAAGTGCATAATCAAGAGAATTTTCACATAATTCAAGCAAATCTTCTAAAATATACTTTTTATGATTCTCGTTTCGAAATATTGAATAATTTCAACCACGAAGTAACTGATGATTATTAGTGGTTAGATTCCATGTATTTATATTCAATTGCAATATTTTTGCAAACATTTCTATTTCATCTGTCTCTTCTCCTTCGATAACACAAGGAGACGAATGTGACTGAAGAGAAGGCCCATCCACACATACACTCTACTATTTGTAACTTTCTCTTGACTGTCTTCCATCTGAATAACAATTAATGCAACAAAAAGAAACCTTCTAAAAATCTGACTATTCATCATTTTTCTGCTCTAACAGCCTAGTTGCGACAATGATGAAGATCTTAGTCCATTATTTGATGATTGCAGTCTTTCATGCATAATTTTATTTCATCGATTTGGTTATTAAATCAAACAAACTATAACTGAATTTTTCACGCTCCCTAATTTCTTTTAACTTGCTTTTCGATTTATTTAATTTAATCTCACTGTAACCTTCAAATTGCACTGCCGATTTTCTCCTTGTTCGTGTTGCACCGGTCATT